GTTCACCACAGGCCTTCTGGGCAACACCGTCCTGCTCTTCTTGATCAGCACGGAGCCCAAGCTCCACACGCCCATGTACTTCCTGCTCAGCCAGCTCTCTCTGTTGGACGTTGGGTTTCCACTGGTCACCATCCCCAAGATGGCAGCCGACTTCCTGCAGGGAGGGGGCTCCATCTCCTTCGGGGGCTGCGCAGCCCAGATGTTCTTCCTGATGCTGATGGGCATCTCTGAAGTTGTCCTGCTGTCCCTCATGTCTTACGACCGCTACGTTGCCGTGTGCCACCCCCTGCATTACCCCATGCTCATGAGACGTCAAGTCTGCCTGCTCATGGTGGGCACTTCCTGGTTCTCAGGTGTGCTCGTGGCCTCAGTCCAGACGTCCATCACCCTGCACTTTCCCTACTGTGCCTCACGCACCGTGGACCACTTCTTCTGTGAAGTGCCCGCCCTCCTCAAGCTCTCTTGTGCTGACACGTCTTCCTATGAGTTGGCACTGTCCGTCTCAGCGGTGCTGATTTTGCTCCTTCCCACGTCACTCATCGCGGTCTCCTATGGCCACGTGTTGGCGGCTGTTCTTCACATGCGCTCAGCAGAGGCCCGACACAAAGCCTTCACCACCTGCTCCTCACACATCACCGTGGTGGGTCTCTTTTACGGGGCTGCCGTGTTCATGTACATGGTGCCAGGCACCTACCACAGCCCACAGCGGGACAACGTGGTCTCTCTCTTCTACAGTCTCATCACCCCCACACTCAACCCCCTCATCTACAGCCTAAGGAACAGAGAGGTTCGGGTGGCTTTGGTCAAGGTCCTTGGCAGAGGTGGCTTCAGGTCAAAGAGATGACCTCTTTGCTGGTAAATTCTTTCAATTACATCGGAAAGAAATAATGCCATTCTCATACAAATTCATAAAGGGAAAATAGAAACACTAACTCGTTTTATAGAACCAGAAAAACCCTGATATCAAAACTTAACAAGGATTTTATAAGAAGATAAAACTACAGATCCGTATTCCTCAGGAACATAGCTGTGAAAAATCCTGCAGAAAATAGTAGCGAAATATCCCATCATTATGAAAAAGATCATCATGATCAAGTGAGTTTTACTTCAAGAGTACAAGTTGGATTTGCTATTTGATATTCGAAAATCTATCAGTATAATGCAGCATATTGACAGAATAAAAGGGAAAGCAAGAGGTTATCTCAATAGACACTGGAAAAGCATTTGACAACATTCAATACCCAGTAATCTTACAATAAAAAAACTCAACAAACTAACACATAGAAAGAAAATTCTTCAATATAATAAATGATACATATGAAAAACATACATCTAACATCAAACATAATGGGAAAAGACCGAATTCTTTCCCCTTTATGACTGGGAGGAAGACAAGAATGTCTGCTCTCATCATTTTTATTTAACATTGCACTGGAGGTTCTAACCAGTAGATAAGAAAAAGAAATAGAGTCATAAAGATTTCTTCAAACTGTCTTCTTGCAGGCAACCCGATTGTACCATAGAAACTCAAAAAACCTACAAACTACTAGACCCAATAAATGAATATAGCAAATGTAGGAGACAAGTTCAATCTATTAAAAATCAATTATATTCCCATGCACTGTCAGCAAATAATTGGAATGTGACATTTTTAAAACAATAATATTTATAATAGCATCAAAAACAACAAAATAACTAGAAATAAATGTAATAAATGTGTGCAAGACTTTTACA